TCCTTGCCTACGGCTGGGTAGGAGTTTGTGCCCCCGGCCACAAACTTGGCTCTGCCAGGCCTTTTTAGTGCCACTCCCCGGGCCGGGAGCCCCTCTCCAGCTGAAATATTCCTTGAGCAAGCCTTGCCTCACCCCCACCCCTGGAGACCGCTCCCTCCCCTGGGATCCCACAGCACACCCAGCCCACACCCTACATCTGGCATCTGTGATCTACCAGCAGCCCGGCAATCACCACGCACGGGCACGACTACACCTGAGCCCGGCCATTCTTGTGGGGCCCCAGACACGCCCAAGAGATACCAGAGTGTGTGGGAGGGAGGACAGAGAGGGCTAGGACAGGAGGCCCGGGACAGCAGGTGGGTGGCTGAGACCTGGTGGGGAGAACATCACGTGCAAAGGCCCAGAGGCAGACAGAGCAGGCGGGCCTGTGACAGGCAAGTGCCCTCTGCCTGGAGCATGACAGCAGGAGGGGATGAGGCCCAGAGGAGAGGCCAGCAGAGGTCCCGGCAGCAGGAGGCCAGGTCTGAGTGGGTCCCGGAAACACTCTTCTCCCATCTTCCTCGTGTCATCCCGTGTTGCCTGGTGGCAGGGCTGCTGAGCAGCACACTTCTGGCACCCCAAGGGCTGCTGGTGTCGCAGGTGCCTGTGCCACACTGAGGACAGAAGCTGGAGCTGCCGCCACCTGGGCCTTTTTCCCTGGGGTGCATCCCTGCTCCTCCAGGGCCTCTCAGTGCCCTGTGTTCCTCCTGGCTCCTTGCCCAGCTGCACAGCCTCTGTGCCTCCTGCCTGGACCCCCTGCTCCGTGGGCCCCACCCGCCCTCTCCACTTTACTGCCCCACACTCCCGAACAGGTGAGGGGCACAGGCACGGCCCCTCCATTCCCTTTGCTCCGTCCCTGGCGGCAGCTGGTGACTGTGGGGTGAGGGTATGCAGCAGCCCAGTGCGTGCCAGCCCGGAGACAGACAGCCTTGCAGGTGGTGGGCACGGGGAGAGGCGATGGTGTGCTGGAGGCAAGGCTGGCACTCGGGGCTCCGGGAAGCTGGATGTGAGGGGGCATCAGGGAGGGCTCCTGGCCTGGCACGGACTACGACAGGCAGTCAGCAGATGCCCTTCGGGGTCCGGGCCCTGTACACCTCACGCTTCCTGTGCCCACTGAGAAGGGTGAAGTGGCCTCACCTGGGCACCAGGACAGGACCCCATTGCACAGCGGGTGCATCTCCGAGTTTACCTTCCTGCCGCATCCAGAACAGCTCTCTGAAGGGATGGCATGAGGCAAGGGGAGAGAAGCCCAAGAGACGGGAAGGAATCTCAGAGCCCTGGGGCAGCCTGGCCCATCTCCTAGGGGCCCTGCTCTGCTGCCTGTGCTGAGCCCACAGGACGCAGCACTGGGCAGCAGGGAGCCTCGGAGCTCGGCGAGGCCCCAAGTGTCAGCAGGACTTGGAGCAGCGGATGTGATGGAGAAACACACCGGGCACAAGGAATCCAGGGTCCCCGGGAAGCTCCTGCGCCAGCCGCGGTCACCGTTCAGGGGCTCCGACAGGAACAGGGCGGTCTTGGCTGAAACCTGCCCTGGTCTTGCCTACGGAGGCTTAAGAACGAGATCTGGAAGGATCAAACCACTTCCCAGGGACACAACTGAGCCCCTAGTGGACCCAAAGACACAGAAATACCAGCACCTAACCGGCGGCATCCAGTGTGTGAGCACAAAGAAAATTTCTGAGCAAGTATGGTATGACTGAAAAATACGGTAAGGTGTACATTTTTTTAAAAAAATTATTGCAGTAAAAGACACACGGCCATGAGTCCTCCTGAAAATGCCTCCCACCACACACACACACACACACACACACACACACACACACACCCCTTCAGTTGTGCTGCCACGGCTGCCTCCACGTACTGAATCAATTCAAAACATTTCCCTTTAGCGGTCCTTCTGACTCTGGGGAGCAGCCAGAAGTCACACGGTGTCAGATCCAGGGAACAGGGTGGATGAGGAAGCGCGCCATTTTTTTTCTGAGCTGCCTTTCCGTTGGATGGGTGACTGGCAGCAGAATTCACTCTTTTTGATCACATCTCATAGACACTCGTAAAAGAAGGTTCCAGAGAGGCTTCGGAGAGTGGCCTAGCGGGGGGGGGGGGGTTCGAGGGGGATTCATGGCGATGTGTCTTTCACAGTGATACATTTTGAAAATGTAAGCAATCACCACGTATATTGGTCACCCCTTGTTGAATAGCAGAAAGATGTCATTCACAGTGAGGAGAAAATTCAGCCATGGAAACCAACCCAGAAACAGTACAGATGGCAGAACTAGGAGACAAAAGGACTAAATAGTTGCTAACTTTGGCCCCTGGGCGGGTGGAATCGAGTACGTTAACCAGAGACCTGGATAATAAAAAGAACCAGACCAAGCTCATAGAGATGAAAATGAACGAGCTATGGTGAAAACTACCCTGGAAGAGTTTACAGACGGCAGAGAAACAGAGAGGAAGGAAGCCAGAAAAATGAACACCCAGAGCCTCCCAGGGTGCAGGAAGCTTCCAGTGGCCTCCTGTGTGCGTAATTACAGGCCACAAAAGTTCCAGAAACCACACGCAGGAGCAAGATGAAAAACACAACAGCAAGGAGTATTACGACCCAATTCCTTAACGCCAGCGAGGAAGAGATCTAAACAACAGACAGCAACAAGGGCCACAGGCCAGAGGACTTCTCACTCCAAACAGCGGAAGCCGGAGATGGGGGAGCAGCGTCTGTACGGAGTCACCAGCCCAAGATTTTCTGTCCAGAATAAAAACGGAACCACCTGTGAACATTCACTACGCTCCGTCCACTGGCTCAAGAGATGCCTGACAGCTTAATAAGGAATACACGGTTCTGGGTGTGTCCATGGGCGTTTCCAGAGATGACTGGCATTCAGGCCAGCAAATGAGAAGGGAAGAAATGCCCTGATCCAATAGGCTTGCAGCCTGGATGGAATTAAAGAGAAGGAGGAGGAAGCTGGAGGACACTTCGGCAGCTCTGGTCTGCTTGAGTGGGTGCATGTTTTGCGGTCACCACCTGCGGACATCAGACTCCAGCTTCTTCAGCCTCCGGCTCGGACTCATGCAAGGGGCTCTTCAGGGAGCTTCTGGACTTCAGTCTCAGGCTGGGGCTGTGTTCTTGGCCCCTCTTCTGGCTTCTGGGCCTGAGCACCTGCCGGCTGTCTCGTGTGCAGTCGCTGTGGACGCTCCCGCCTCTGACTCCCTTGCACACTCACACGCACACACATGCATGCAGTGCACCTGTGCTGCCGTTAGTTGGCTGTGGAAGGGGGCAACGAGTGCCAGAGATGACGAGTACCCAACAAACTGTCTGGGCTGGGAAGAGGCGCGACTCCCGAGGCCATCGACGCTGCCGCTCCCGGCTGTGTTAAGTACCAACAAGCGCCAGGACAGAATTTTCACCCCAAACTCCCCACATGTGTGCACATGCTGATGAAGATGCATCGGTTCTGCTCTAGAGAGCCTCAGCAGCTCAACATCCTTCCCAAGGGAGGACCAGGGGAGGCTGGCACGAGCTCGGTCCCTGACTCCGGAGGGCAGGGCACGTGGCTTGGACTGGCACTGATGAGTCTCCTTTTCCCTCTGGGCTTGGGTCCCGGTGGCCTAACCTGGGCAGGTGACAACCCTCGGGTGGGGCTTCCTGCTGGGCTTGTGGGCTTCCAAGTCCAGCCCTGTGGCTCCTGGGGAACCTGGGGAGGAGGACCAGGATGCAGGGGCAGCAGGGTTCTCCCCACTGAGGTCAGACCCCAGACCCCACAACAAGCACAGAGGCCCAGGCGGTGGGACACAGAGTGCACTGAGCATGGTGCCCCACCCCTCCACTTCAGTCCCACGTGTCACCCCAGCAGGGTGACAGCAAAAGAGAACCCGCGCAATTTTTAAAAAATGGAAAAACTATTTAGCAATTCACAAGGTCACAGGCAGTTTCCATGGCTACGGATGTACCCATTTTGCTGAGATGAGGAGGTGAGGCTCTCCACGGCCCCTGGATCACTTGTGCCCAACAGCAGGTATCTGACTGCACTGGAGGGAGGTAAGGAAGGACAGAGGGATGGACGGACAGAGGGATGGAGGGAGGAGGGAGGAAAGGATGCGGCTGCCCCTCCACTGTCCCAGGACTGGGACTTTGATGCTAGCAGACTGACACCTGTAGCTCGGTGCTGCTGTCCCCACTGGATTTTGAGTCGAAGAGAGGACAGCCCAGAGTGTCCCTGAGTCCTTGTCTTGTCCCACAGAGGGCACCGTGGACAGGTCCCCAAGCCGCCAGGAGCCTGCAGTGTCCCATCTCAGGCTGCTCAGCTCAGATGGGGGAGCCCCAAGACCCCTACCCCAGCGCAGAGAGCCCAGTGTAGATGGGGCCAGGACCCGGGCAGTGCTGCCGAGCCCTTTCCTTCCGCTCCCTGCAAGTGGGGCCCCTGTCTGCCTCTCCTCCTGGCCTGGTGACCCGGTTCCGTCCCTGAGCCACCGTCCACCCCATCACCGTGTCGGGCTGTGGCTCTCCTGCATCCGTGACTCCCTGGGGTGCCATGCCCAGTACTGGGCCCTGCACCCCACTCCTCACTGTGCCAGGCTGAGGCCCCATGGGTGGCAGGTGGGTAGAGCCTGCATCCCAAGGCATGATAGCCACCTCCCTGCCCCCTTTCTCGCTCCTTGGGAAAGAGATGCCAGTGCTGAGCACGTGGACATTTACTGAGGGCCATTGCGTGCCTGGCCTCGGCATCATCAGGTTGGAATGACTTTGTACAGGTGAGGTTCACCTGCCCGGGTGGGGACGGGGAAGGGGTCAAGCCTCTCCAGATGGGTGTGGGGAAACTTAGGCAGAGGAGACAGCAGATCCTAGTCGTGAGCTCTCAGCTGAGGAAGGCCCAGGCACAGCCTCCAGAAAGCCTAGATCCAGACTCAGAGGCTCCCCCTCCCCACCCAGGGGCCATGCACCTGTGGGTAGGGCCTGTTCTCACCTGCTGGCCTTAGCTGTGGGGCTCCATGGTGAGTGGAACAGGGGCAGAAGGGACCATGCCTCAGCCCTAGGCCGGGTTCTGAGGCAGCCCCATTCCAGGTCAGGGGAAGAGCAGGCCTGGGATGCAGCTGGACAGGAAGTAGAGTGCCGGGACCACCACCACAGCCTGCTGAAGCTGCCCAGCCATCTGCATGCCTGGGAGAGAGAGAAGCTGTGCTAGGGCTCCGAGAGGCTGACTGTGGGTGGCTTGTTACACAGCACCGCTGTGCTGACAGCGGACTGATACACACTCGAGCTGTCAGTTTTGAGGCTGCGGCTGAGGCATAAAATACAACAGACACAGATGAGCACGGTAGAGCGTGCCTGTGATCCCAGCACTCTGGGAAGCTGAGGCAGGAGGATTGCAAATGCCAGCCCAGTCCGGGCCACCTAGTGACTTAACAAGACCCTGTCTTTCAAAATGAAAAATCAAAAAGCTGGGGATGGAGCTCAGTGTGAAGGCTCTGGGTTCAATTCGCAGTACAACGACAACAAAATCCAACACAGCTTGGGCTGCATAAAGCAGATGGCTAAGAGAAAACCCAGCTGTGGTGTGTCAGCAACCGACCCAAACTGCCAGGGACCTGGCTCTGCCCGAGGGAGCCGGGCGGAGCTGCTAGTGGGAGACAGGGGTGGCCGAGGGGAGCCTGCAGTGGGGAGGCGGCCCCTGGGGAGGGTGGGCAGCTCTGAAACTGGCTGAGTGTGCAGAGGGTCCGGCAGCCGTCCCTGGGGTGCTTCCTCTTTCCATGTCCACGGGCTGCAGCGGGCACGGCTGTGCGTCTGCGTGTCTGTGTGTGTCACGGGTGGTGACGAAGGACGCAGGACAGGCACAAAGGAGAGTCCTACGGCCTGGTCCCCCCAGGGGCTAACGGCCCACCCGGCAGCCAGGTGAGGGGTGTGAGCCGCCACTGCATCCTCACAGCGCTTTCACCCCTCTGTCCACCCGTCCGTTTGTCCATCCGTCTATCCGTCCACCCGTCCCGTGGACACCGAGCACCCACCATCCCATCCTGCCCCCACCGCCTTGTCTCTCTGAGGCCTCGCGCTTTCTCCTCAGGGCTCTGCCTGGGGCCGGGCCACGAAACTGCCATCCTGTCACAAGCCTCTGCGTGACTCTGCCACCCCTCGCGGTCCGTGGCTGAGGCCTCGGCAGAGACCCTTCTTGCAGCAATTGTTTCAACATCAATTTTCCCTTTGTAAAAAGCTGGGCTCAGCCCTTTCTGGAGAGTGCAGCAGAGCCCATCTTGTCGAAGGGCCCACCTTGCAGATTAGGTGATTCCAAAGCAGCTGTTGCCCTCCGTGAGGACAGTGCCAGCACTGGGGTTGCTGTGGTCCACTGGGCCTGCAGCTGGGGTGCACTTGTGCCCATGATGGGCTCTGCCATGTGGGCCCACCCACTCCCCAGGAGGGTCTCAGCATGTTGGGCAGGACCCTGGTAAGACAAAGATGGCATTTCCGGCTCTGGACCCTCACAGATGAGGCTGGCTGTCACCACCCAGCTGTCCCTAACCTACCCAGCGACCCTTCTGAGCCAGGCTCCATGCCAGGCATTTCCATGGGACAAAGTGGTCGACAGCTGCCTGGTCTCAAGGGGCCCAGCCTGGCGCACGCGACACAGGGTGCACAGAGCCAGGCGCTGGCAGCCAAGATGGGGTCATGGGACCCAGGTCACAACTTGTCCCCAAAGGACTGGCACAGGCACTGAGGCCTGGCGGTAGCAGAGGAGAGCAGGGGAGGCCCCACAGGCAGGCAGGGCTCTGGTGTTCAGCCCCAGGAGCCAGAAGGGAGGGTCAGCTCTGGACGGGGCTCTGTGGGCTCTGCCAGGGTCTGGGCTCCAGCTAAGGCTGGGAGAGGACCGTGGCCACGTGAGACACAGGGGCAGTTTGGCAGGCGCCACCCCAAGACCCCAGAATCTAACAGTGGGTTCCTGCTGTCACATTCCTGCCGAGGGTCTGGGATCTCCCTTGGTGACAAAAGGAAAACTGTGCCTATTTTTACAGATAGGAAACTGGGGCACAGAGAGGTTTATAAGCAACCTGTGCTCACCAGCCAAGAAGAGCCCTGCCTGGGTCCTACCTCTGACTGACTCTGCAGGGCTCCCTCCTGCCCCTCCCTGCCTCTGCCTCCCTCCCTTGGACCCCAGATCGATGATGTAGAGAAGAGAAGGCGGCGGAAAACAAGACACAGTGTAGCAGCGATAAAAATGACCACGAAGGCAATACTCAGGACACTGCAAAGTAAATCAGGCTGTGTGGAGGCCGAGGTCTGTTTAGTGATTAGGGGGAGGTCTCTCTCGTGTAGGAAGTTCCACCGTGGGGAGATCAAAGCCAACTATAGTTTTAATTGTGGAAATGGCTTTGCACAGAGTCAGGAACCTTCTGCATAAGGAGTTTTAACCAAACAAACTCCAAATGCAGAAAAATATGAGCAGCTCACGAGTGAACCACATATGTGGCGCAAAACCAGTATTTTTCTAGTGAAAGAGCCCCCATCCTGTTGGTCTTCCTTGGAACCAGATTTGGGTTACTAGGCCCCAGAATCAGCCCTCTCCAAGCAGGGGCCGGGCTCGACTGGTCCTCCGTCCAGAGCCTGGGCCCCTCCTTACCCTAGGGTGCCCCCCATCCTGGAGGGGCTCGCACCTTTGAGTGGGAACAACAGATATTTTTATTTGGCCTTTGAAAGTTCTCTGCTGTGTGGAGTGTCTGCTTTGCCAATGCCAGGCGGGGGACTTTGGCCTTTCACATGTGGGCCATAAGACCCCAGTCACCAAGGGGACACCATCCATGCCCTCCATGGGGTCCCCGTGCCCCCAGCCAGCCCTTTTGCTTTCAGGGCTCCTGCCTCTCTTGGCAAAATCCCAAATGCAGATGATAGAGGGACACAGGGGAGGCGCACACTGACGGTGGGGCGGGGCCAGGGCCCTGGAGGACGCCCAGGGCGGTGCACACGGGCAAGCTGAGCCCGGGGGTGGGGGTGGACCACGGCCAGGAGCCGGGGCTTCGACTCTGACTTCCTGGACAGTTGACTTTTCCTTTACACCGAGCAAGCATCTCTTATTCAGAAATGCGTTAACATAATTACAATGGAGTGTAGAGTAATTCAACCAACAGCGTAAGCGAGACGAAGGCACCTGTCAGAGCTTGAAGCAAAAGGCTGTTTCCCTGCTGCGGTGGCTGCGTGTCTTCTGGAGGGATGGTATGGTCCCCAGGGAGCCTGGATGCACCCCAGAGGGAACTGGGGCCTAGAACTGCTTCTCCCCCCACGTCCCCAGGTGCGACAGGCACAAAGTGGAAGGAAGAGGGGCTCGGGCTGGGAGCGAGACGTGAGCCTGGGTACCTGCATGCGCCCCGAGGGCAGGCTGGGAAGAACCCAGACACGGGACACGGCATCCATTTGCTGCCACCCCTGTGCCCTGCTGGCTGAGCTGGAAATGGTACGACAGGGCTCCCAGTGCCCCTGACCGGGAAGGTGAGCCTCTGCTCACGCCCAGCAGCACATCAACACCCATCCCGAGCTGGCACGTCCCTCAGGTGGACAAAATGAAGAACCCAGGGCTCAGAGAGGCCAGGTCACTTCCCTGAGGACACACAGCCTGGGCATAAGCGCAGCTCTTGTCCTTCACTCAGCCTTGGCAGCCAGGGAACCTGGAGGGGATGGTCACAGCCTGGGAACCTGGCTTCTTCCGGCCGCTGCTGGGTCCCCAACCAGCTTCCTTCTGGGTCTCTCCCAGCCGGGCCACTTGGGAAGGCCGAGCACACGGACACAGCACCAGCTCAGCCTGGCTGAGGCTGCTTCCACAGAGGCTCCACACCCCGCCAGCGTGGACACCGGGGCTGGGCTCTGCATGGAGACTTTTATAGGGTGACATCTGCTCGGCGCTGGGGGCCTGGTGTCTGCCTGCCTCCTCCTTCCGGGCCCAGGCCCAACGGTCCCCATTCAGGCCACTAATACACCGCAGCCCATGCTGCTCTCACCAGCCTTCTGCCCACCATGGCACCCAGGGAAGCAGGTGTGCAGGAAACAGCAAGCCAGGCTCTGAACCCCAGCCTAGGCCTGAGTTCCGGGGCCTGCCCCTGCCCCCCTCTGCCCTGGCCAGCAGAGGGAGCCCCCTACCAGGCTGGCGCAGGATGAACCACTGCCCCAAGTGCAGGGGTGGGAAGAGACTTCTCTCAGGGGTCCCCATGGCCTTGGCCGGGGCTCACAGTGCCCCAGGTGCCCCTGGGTGCTGGTGGAAGGTCTGCAGGTGACACGGGGAGACTCACCTGAGTCTGGGCCAGGAACCCACCTTCCCACCAAGCGAGCGCACAGGTCAGGATGCACCCGGAAGCAGGGCAGGGGGAGCTGAGCTGACACAGCCACGCTGCCTCCCTCCTGCAGAGTACTGAGGTGGACGTAATTGGCCAAGACGTAATAAATCTGCCCTCCGGGCCGGGCACTGCAATCACTCCTCACTGGGCTGGCCCATAGGGCAGGCATGGGGCCCCAGGCCACACAGGGCCAGCACAGGGCTCAGGGACTGGGGGTCACCTGAGTGGAGGTGGGCTGGCAGGGTCTAGGTGCTGGGACAAACTGGCCCTGCCCTTCCCAGATCCCAGAGCAGCAGGGAAGCGCTGTGGCTCCTCCCAGCCTCAGCCACTCCAGGGGGCTCAGCTCCGCATGGCTGTAGCAGTACACAGGGCAGACAGGTGACCGATGGGAAACTGAGGTCCAGAAGACCGACTGGCGGAAGGTCACCCAGGGAGGTGGACGGAGCAGGGGACAAGTCTCAGCTTCTCCGCCGCTGCCTTTCCCAAGGGCCTCTGTCCGAGCTACGGAGTGCATGCGGTGTGGGTGTTGGGCTTGGGGGCCCCTTCCCCACTTGCTGGAGAGGCAAGGGTGGCATCTGCAACTCTAGAAAGTCCGAGATGCTCCCCGGAGTGCCCCACCCCACCCGCCACAGCAGGCCCCGAGGCTGGGCAACTTGGGGTCCTCCTGGCAGCCCAAGCCCTTCGGGAAGTCTGTACCAGCCAGCCCCACACAACACTCAGGTACAGGGACCACAGCTGGCCCGAAGACCACCTTCTGTCTTCTCCACAGTGCCACACAGAAGCTCACACCGCTGCTCAGGCAAGA